GGATGTTATCTCGAACCGTTCTGTAAGTCCCTTAATGTTCTTACTGTGCTAATGCTATTCTTGTAAATGGCATGGATGTTATCTAGAAGTTGGCCTCTTGCAGTGTAGTTTTCGAGCTCTTTCTACAGCTTGTTTTTTTTCACTCTGTCGACCGCTTTATCCTGGTCGATGTTTAGTTCCCTGTAGTGTTCTATTACCCTTTCGCACATTTGTCGTAGGCCTTTTCCCTTTCTAAATCCCATTTGGGCCTCACTCAGAAATGGTTCAACTTTTTGTCTTGTTCGCCATTCCAATATCTTGGCGAACATCTTGTCCACATGGCGTGGTAGTGAAATGCCTCTCTGTACATTCCACTGTCTCTCTTACAGCCTTTCTTCTTCCAGATTGGTACTATGACCGCTTTTTGCCTGTCGCCGGGAACTTTTCTTTCTTTTCATGCTTTCTGGAAGATTTTTGTGAGCCAAGTTATTCCAGTTTCACAACATGCTTGGTTGGTCTCTGTGGTGAGCTCATCTATTCCTGCGCTTCTGTTTTTTTGGGCTGGTTTTAACTGCTTGTCCGACCTCTGATGGTATGATGGTTGGTTCTTCTTCCTCTGGGTGCCTTGGTTGGAATTCTTTATTTGTTTGCTTTTGAGTGGGGTTCAAAAGTTCTGAGAAATATTCCTTCCATATATCTAGATTTGATTTTGGAGCTGTCGATAATGTTCCTGTTTTGTCATTGATTATTGCTGTTTGGTCGTACGGTTCTTCTCTGAGCCGCATTGATTTTACACTTCTGTAAAAGTCACGTGGTGATTTATGGCCCAGTTCGCTTTGGTGTTCTCCATAATATTTTGCCCAATTTTGCATCATTTTTTGACTCTCTAACAACTCTTTTGCAGTTCCTTCTTGCTAGTCTGTATTGCGTGTAGTCGTTTTCATCCTTGGATTTTATCCATTTTTGAAAAAGTTTCTTCTTTTCTTTGATGGCCTCTTTGACGCTCTCATTCCACCATGGTGTTCCTTTAATGGATCCTCTCCCAATTCTCTTCCTTCCACATACTTTTATCAGTGTTTCTGTTATCACGTTTTTAAAGAGAGTCCATGTTTCTTCAACGTACATTGCCTGGTGTCTTGGTTTTCTAGTCTCTTTGTGATCGTGTGCTCAACTTTCTGCACATTGCCCTCATCATTGAGTTTTCGTGAACTAATTTGCTCTGACTAACACAGGAGAGAGAGAGAGAGAGAGAGAGAGAGAGAGAGAGAGAGAGAGAGAGAGAGAGAGAGAGAGAGAGAAGAAGAAGAAGAGAGAGAGAGGGGGTGGGAGTGGATGGAGAGGTATGGGAATGATGTTTTGCAATAATGTATTTGTGTGTGTCTAATGCTGGACCAGTAAAGTATAGTTTTGCTTATATATTACAATGCCATGGACCCTTTGCGGAGTTGTCCAATGTCTAAAATTTGTTTAGTAGTCCTTGATAAACGTCTTGCTTGCTACTCTTATACCAGTAATTGTCGTGTTAAAAAGCGTAGTCCTGGTGAGGCTTGCATTACATAGTGTATAGCATTGTTACGTTCAATCATGAACATAATCAGAGGACCATTAGCAGGCTCATTCATATATATGAAAATCTCATACAGAACAAGAGTAAAGATTATAATATAATACATTTGTCTTGCTCAGCAGAACTCGAGATGGCCCTGTTTTTGCATTTTCCATACATTTTACTTTTGTTCAAAACACCCATGACGACGTGAAAGAGGTTTCATTTGAAGTT